GCTAGGGAGCATAAAGATTGGACTCTGGAGCAATGGAAGAAGGTCACGTGGTCTGATGAGTCCAGACTGACCCTGTTCCAGAGTGATGGTGCATCAGGGTCAGAAGAGAGGCAGGTGAAGTGATGCACCATCATGACCGGTGTCTCGTCATCAATGAAAGATCTTGGTGAAACATTAATTCAACACTGGATGAAACAGATCTTGTGACGTTGCAGAAGTTTATCAAAACAATGTCACAGCGAATGCATGATGTCACCAAAGCTAAAGGCGGTCCAAGGAAATATTAGTGTGTGACCTTTTTTTTGGTGACAATTTTTTTTTGGGGGGGGGGGGGGCAGTGCATTTGTCCATGAAACCCAATGAATCCAATCAGTTACTTAGACCACAAGCATGTCAGGACGCTTGGAAACTTTGTTCTACCTTTGCTGAAGGGAGGAGACCCCACCTCACTGAACAACTATCGACCAATCTCTAAACTCTGCATTTTAGCCAAGGTTCTAGAAAAACTGATAAACTCTCAAATCAAAAAGTATCTGGACTCAACATCTTACCTCTCCATCAATCTGGTTTCAGGAAACAACACAGCACAACCACTGCTTCACTGAAGGTTTTTCAAGTCAAGGTTCCTTATTTGTCATACGCACCACATGTGGTACAGGTTGTGTACACAGGGTCCCAGTTACATCCAACAAAAGTATAAATTGTAAAAGAAAAACAGTGATGAGATCTAAGATATGAACTAAGAAATACACTAAACAGTAGTAGTGCAAAAACAATACGGCGTAACAGCAGCAGCACGAACATGAGTCTGTGTGAACAGATAAGTACGAATGAACACAGCAGCATGAAATAATCAGCAGCATGAGATCAGCAGCATGGATAATCAGCAGCACATATCAACAATCATGCAGCATCACAGTGATTATTCTGGTTAGAGATTCATGAGTCTAACAGCCTCAGGGTAGAAGCTGTTCCTCAGTCTAGTGGTTCTACACTTAATGCTCCTCAACCTCCTTCCTGAGGGGAGCGGGGCAAAAAGTGTGTGTGCTGGGTGAGTGTGGTCCTTCATGATGCAGGTGGCCCTCTTCCTGCATCTGGAGGTGTAGATGTCTGTGATGGTGGAGAGTCTGACTCCAACATCTTCTGTGCAGCCTTCACCACTCTCTGCAGAGCTTTTCTTTCTGCAGCTGTGCAGCCTCCATGCCACACGTTGATGCTGGAGCACAGGATGCTCTCCACTGCACACCTGTAGAAGGAGGTGAGAACTGAGCTTCCCAGACCAGCTCGTCTCAGCCGCCTGAGGAAGTAGAGTCTCTGATGAGCTTTCTTCATCAGGCTGGTGGTGTTGTTGCTCCAGCTGAGGTTGGTGTTCAGGTGCACACCCAAGTCCTTGTAGCTGGAGACCACTTCCACTGCAGATCCTCAGGGTAGGTGTGTTTGTTCGGTCTGAAGTTCTCGATCTTATTACTGTTTTTCCTTTACATTTTATTGTTAGATGTAACTGGAATCTGTCCTGTGTACATAATCTTGTTCCACCACATGTACCACATGAGATGCGAATGACAAATCTCTCTGACTCTGAATCTGAATCTCCTTCGTCTTCTTCACATTGATGTGAATGTTGTTCTTCCTGCATCAGCTCTCCAGGTGTTCCACCTCCTGCCTCTTTTTAATGCTCTTGTTGAAGCACTGGATGGTGAGGATTATTGTACTGCACTTTTCTTAGACCTGTCTAAAGCTTTTAGCACTGTGGACCATGACATCTTATGTCATAAGCTCTCAGAAATTGTTTTTTCAGCTCACATCATTGGTTGTTTCACTATCTCTCAGATCGGAGACAATATGTCCAACATAATTGTACTTCTTCCAGTTATTTAACGGTTAACAATGGTGTACCACAAGGTTCAGTCTTAGGTCCCACCCTCTTTACAATCTACATAGGTAATGTAGATTAGCCCACCAGAACCTGCGTCAGTTTACCTTTCTTCAGGTGGGGAACCAGACCCTCAGCAGCGGTCCACTGCAGCTTTAACAATATGAAGAACGTTTCCAAAAATAAACTTTGTGCTGTTCGGTTCTGGGATCAGGTATCAGTCCGATAACCTCAGAGCTCACTTACAGCCAGAACCCTGAAACAACAGGATGATTCAGAACTGTTTTCTCTGGCGCAGGAACCAGATACCATGTTTCTGAGGAAATGTACTCCGCTGAAAGATCCGAGTCCATCTGGAGGTAAACCCAGTTTTATTCTTCTCCGAGTCTCAGCCGGAGGTCCGAGCCGACTCTGCAACGAGCTAAAGTTGTCCTGAAGCTCTAAAAATGTATGCAGAAGCTCCTCCAACAACTTCTCTTAACGCTTTGCAGAACATCGGACTTCCTTTGTATTAATCTGAGACAAAACAGCGACAGATGAATGTAAAAAAACGTAAAAGAAGCGTAAAGATTAAGAGTCTGAACTCTGTGATTGTCTTAAAACTGATCTAAGTTACAAAAACCAAAAGTCCCAGCCGAAAGTTTGAACCTGAGCAGCTGAAACAGCCGAAAGAACTCTAAAGTAGTTTGAGTCCAAAAAAACTATTAAAAAGAAAATGATTATGCTGACTCCACGTTCAGACAGTAATATTTAAAATTACACAAATGGAATTTAAATATATTTTACAAGTTTGATAATAATATTACATTTTATTTAAAAGCACCTTCCAGGACTCTCAAGGGGGGCCTAGGTAGGGTGTGTGTGTGTGTGTGTGTGTGTGGGGGGGGGGGGGTCCAAAAATGATTGTGGACCTGAATCTGCTCAGATCTGTGGATTGTGGCTTTGTCATACGAACTAGTTTCTGTGGATAAAATGTAAAATAGAACCGTTTTATCTGATGAAACTGATCTGAACAGTTTCTGTTTTGTAGAAACCATGGTTCTGCACTGCAGATGGCCGTGCAGTAAGCTAGTCTCTGGTTTGGGGTCTTTGATCTCAGGTCAGAGGTCTTTTGTCTCTGATTGTTGGTCTTTGGTCACTAGTTGGTAGTCTTTGGTCTCTAGTTGGTGGTTTTTGGTCTTTGGTTGGTGGTCTTTGGTCTCTGGTTTGTGGTCTCTGGTTGGTGGTCTTTGGTCTCTGGTTGGTGTTCTTTGGTCTCTAGTTGGTGTTCTTTGGTCTGTGGTTGTTGGTCTTTGGTCTCTAGTTGGTAGTATTTGGTCTCTGGTTTGTGGTCTTTAGTCTCTGGTTGGTGGTCTTTGGTCTCTATTTGGTGGTCTGTGGTTGGTAGTCTTTGGTCTGTGGTTAGTTGGTCTTTGGTCTCTTGTTGGTGGTCTTTGGTTTCTAGTTGGTGGTCTGGTCTGTGGTTTTTTTTATATTTGTGGTCTTTAGTCTCTGGTTGGTGATATTTGGTTTTGTGTTTGTGATCTTTGGTCTGATGTTTGTGATCTTTGGTCTCTGGTTTTTGGTCTTATATCTGTGGTCAAAGCAGATGGCTGCTTGTTCTGCTAAAGGTTTCTTTTTCACGAGTGAGTTTTTTCTTTCCACTGTCGCCTTCATGCTTGTTCAAGATGAGAGTTCTGTGATGGAGTTAAACTCAAAGCTGCTCCTCAGATAAATAATATTAAATTATTATTTTATACGTGAATGTTTCTGTTCTGTCCCTGAGACGACTTCTCTTGTGCCTTGACGCTTTATAAATAAACTGAATTGAATTTGAATTCATTGGTCTTTGGTCTCTGGTTTGTGCTTTATGATCTCGGGCCTAAAATGCATAAACGAGTCTCGATTTCCCAGCAGGGGGCTCGCCCGGTCTGTCCCGTCTGGCGGGGGGGACACACAAAGACCCTCACCATACGGTCCTCCTGCCTCGCAGGTCTAATCTGATGTCTCCAGAGGATCCTCTGCTCCTTCCAGTATCTGTGATGGTTGAAAACAAACCTGACTCGGCATTCTGTGAGTTCTGGACCATTCGCGTAGAGCGCCCGGCTCTGAGGCTGCCGGGGAGAGACCTGTGAGGACAGAACATTGAAAATGAAGAACAAGACAACAGTTCGTTCAGACGAACACACATTTCATTCAATTCAATTCAAAAATACTTTATTAATCCCAGAGGGAAATTATTTGTTGTTGTAACTCGTTATCCTCGTTTCATTAAGAGATGTTATAGATGCTGTAGACAGGAAGGATCTCTTGTAAAGGTCCATCCCACAGTGGATCCTAAGAAACTGGCTGCAGATGCCATCTGATCCGTCCATCCAGACTCAGCTGGCCTCTCGGTTCCCCTCGGGCTGTAGGACCGCCCGAATGCCGGGGAGAACTCCTCCCAGAGCGATGGCCACTCCTCCCAGCAGTCTGCAGAGCTCCTCGTAGCTGTGGACAGCCAGCTGTTGTTGTCGAAAGACGATCCTGTCCTTCAGCTGTCATGAGCCGTGTTTCCTGCTAGTTCCAGGATCTCAGTGGTCAGGCACTCGAGCACAGCTGGCAGGTAGATGAGAATGCGTCCACAGAACATCCTTTTCAACTCACTTGAGATTTGGGGCAGTAGTTGAGATATTATTTGAGCTTTTGAGATGTTAATCAGCTGCTGTCCTCTGATGTCCTCTGATGTCCAACAGCAGCTGAAACTGAGCACTTAAAGCTAAAAGAAGCTACAGCTAAAATGAGCTAAACGCTAGGCAAAACCCGTCCAACAGAAGAGTACCTGAATGCTAAAAGGATCTAAAATTTAACAAAACAAATGCTGAACATAAAACTGATAAAACTGTATTTAAAAATAGCTAAACAGTAGCTAAGAGCTAAAAGTGGTTGTGTGGAAGCTGAAGATAGCATAATGTTGTTTAAAAGCTTAAAGCAGCAGGACTGTAGCTAAAATAGCAAAACGATAGCTTAAAACATCAGTTTAATGTAAAACAGATCAAATGTCTTCCTGGTTCGTGGTGATGACATCACATCACCTGACACGCTTCCTCTTCTTCCTCCTCTTCCTCCTCTCTCGGCAGAATCTGGTCACCAGCTCAGCTGTGTTGCCATGGTAACAACAGCCTCCTCCTCCAGCACCTGCTCTCCCCCACTTCCTTTCATCCCTCTGTGGACCTGCCCACTGGGGTTCCCTTCTCTTCATCCTCCTCCTCTTCCTCCCTCTGGCCCACCAGTGGCCCACTGTCGGCCCCCGTTCTCCAGAGAGGAAACCCCTTCCTCTGGAGGTAAGAGATCGGCTGCTTGATTCTGTCAGAGCTGATGACCCCACTAACCTTCAGGAGGGTTTCACTGAAACTTCCGTCCAACAACTAACTCGGTGTCTGTAACTAACACGTGACTCAAAACGGCACCGGCTGACCCGTTTTAACATTGTGATGTCATCAGAACCAGAACAGTTCTGGGAAACTAACATCTGATCATTAGAGCCGATCAGTTTAATCTACAACAAACTATGAGCTAAATACATGATGCCCTCTGTGAAAACACAGAGAGCAGCTGAAGTTCAGCTGCTGAGAGGCTAACTGAAACAGAACATCAGCTGAAAGTACCAAAACAGCAGCTGAAGTTCAGCTGCTCAGGCTAACTGAAACAGAACATCAGCTGAAAGTACCAGAACAGCAGCTGAAGTCCAGCTGCTCAGGCTAACTGAAACAGAACATCAGCTGAAAGTACCAAAACAGCAGCTGACGTTCAGATGCTCAGGCTAACAGAAACAGAACATCAGCTGAAAGTATCAAAACAGCAGCTGACGTTCAGATGCTCAGGCTAACAGAAACAGAACATCAGCTGAAAGTACCAAAACAG